GGAGGGACGCCCCAGGGCAGTAGCTGGGAGCCCCCAGCTCCTGCAGAACAGTAATGCCTTCATCCAATGCCGAAGGACTGAGCTATTGACTTGAGTAGGTGCTTACAGGACTCAGCCCGAAGCATGAATCTGACACTAGCGTGTAGCCTGTCATCATCATTAAAAGGCAAAACAGTGATGTGCTGTATCAGAACTTTAAAGGAGACTAAACTGATATTCACTGAAAGCATTGCAGCTACTGTATGGCAACTTAACTAGAGTATTTAAATCTTGTCCTTTAGTGAACCTGTCTGCACACTATTTATTATAATGTGTCTGCAGCAAAGGAGCAGAGGGAGCTCAGATTTGCCGTCAGACATGTAGTCACAGCTTCGGTTGCAATCAGTAGTGAAGGGCTGTCTGGGAACAGCCTTCAGTTTTCAGCTCAGGGAAATGGTAAGCAGTAGAAGACATCAAAGGGGAAAATATTCAAGAATAAACACTGGACAAGATCCTGAGCTATTGTACATCCAGAGCTATGACGACTTGCATAAGCTATATTCTTCTAGCTCTTAAGCAATCTTTTTAAGGTATTTCACTTTCGTAACATTTCTATAAACTGCAAACTTCACGGACTGATAGCACACTCAGAAATCAGAGTTGTAATGTCCATTCACAGATAATTTGATGAAACAGAATGATACATCCAGTATGGTGACCCAAATGGGATGCTATCATATTGATTTCAGCAAAGGTGCATCAGTTATTTTTGATCAGATAGCCAGACCATTAGTTCATGACCAGAGATAGGGAAATGCTCACCATCGGTAGATGATATCTGGAGAAAACTGCAAGGTAATCTAAAAGGCCAGGTAAAGTTTTCCAACTGTAGAACAGAGAACAGAAGTTTTCCAAGTGCAGAACATTTCTGGAGATTAATTATCTTTTCAGCAGACAGGTAAAGAGCATGACTTTTGTATACAGATCAGAATTTATCATTTGTTTTTATTTGGTTGATGTTTCTAGAAAAATGAAAGCCAAAAATAAGCCCTCAAATCTCCCAACTCAAATTTAACAAATATATCAAGTGCATTTTTTTCAGATCTTCATGACCAAAATAGTAACTGTGAATTATGAGCAGGTTCTAAATTAATACCTTCCCACTTATGCCAAATCATGAATGTATATATGCCTTATTTTCAAAAAGAGTAGGATTCATTCTTTGTAGAACATTTCTTTTCCAAAGCAGTTTTTCACACTGAAATTTCCAAGTCTGAAAAGGGAATAATTGGTCATTTTTTCTATTCCTTTATCTTGCAGCCTTAACTTAAAACAAAGGGTATTTCTGTAAACATTCAGCTATTCCTTTTTGTCACCTTTAAGGCCAAGGAATTGTAATGAAGTACAGCCAGTGCATTTTCTATCAATCATGACCATTAAGTTTTAAACATTTACTATGATTCTTTTAGTACAGAGCTTTTGTGTGTCTAAACTAACTGGCATTTGTTAAGTGTCTGGGAATTGGTAGATTTAATGTTCTGTAGCGTAAGTGAAAAGCTTCAATACAAAGTGATAAACTTTACATGCTGGATTGTGAGATATCATCAACTTCGTTATCTGAATTTCTGAGATGTGTTTTTTCAGCCACAAATACACATATGAAGATTTGTAGAATTCATCAGTACATAGCAAACACAAAATTCCAGCTTACACATGCATAGTAATTGCATACATTTGGGGATAAAAAGAAGCCCTTGGTGAGCCCCCACCTCTAATGCACAAGGGGTGGTTGTCTTGCTCTAAAAATCTGCAGTGAAAGGTGCTCCACAAAACCCCAGATACCTTGTGCCAGTGCTTAAGTCAGTTCTAGCCTCAGAGTCCCTGTATTATTTAATCTAAATCTTACATGAGGCACCTTAGCCTACTTCTGGTCCCAATCTTGATCTATATTTTTGATCTATATCTATATTTTTTGATCTACGTATCTATGGATATGTTCAGGTTGTGTGCCTTCTAACAGTAATTTTCTTAGTAACATTATGCAAAGCTCCCTGGGTACTTCATCTGCTGCTGGTCCCTGGAAAGGTACACCATGGATGAGGGTGTCCATGTAGGCTGGAAAAGGGTATGCTGAGTAAATTGAGAGGCCAGAAGAAGGTGGCATAAATCTTAGGGCTATACAGTTAGATGTCTGTGCCTCAACTGTCAGACAGGAAGGGTAGTAAAAGAACAAGCCCCCAACATCACCACCACCAAGAGTGAGTCTAGGAAACAAAGGAAAATGAAACGGTTGGACTTTGCATAGACTGTAAGAGTCTGTACGATTACAAGCTCAAAATAGGTTGATCCAAAATACAGGTTGTGAATTCTACTAAGTTCCAGAGAGGTGGTTTGATGAGTGGCTGTGATAACGTGCAGTAATCAGATACAGAGATATCTAGTAACTCTGCCAAATAAACTGATGAATTCCCTTCCCATCTATGTAAAGATAAAGAGCACAAAACCACAGCCACAGTAATGCTTTGAGAAAACTGGGAAGAGCACAATTTAATCTGATTTGGAATTCTATACCCAGGCTTCAGAGTTCTTTGGGACAGTAAAGACAGGATCTGATTAAATTGGCTTCCCAAAATGGACAAAGAAGGTGATTCCTTGCAGCGAGCGAGGCAGAATCAGGCCGTCTGACTCACTCCTAGCTCTGAGTCACGGACAATGCACGATCCTGACCGGTCCCAGGCCGTGCTGAAAGACTCATCTTTGCAGCAGCCTTCCAGACAGTAACACACCTCCTCCTCTCTTTCCTCCTCCACTTCTTCTTCCCCTTCCATGACTAATACATGACACAAAGGTTACAGGAAGAAGTAAAGAAAGGAATTAAAACAAAGCGCTGCAAAATGGGAGGACGAAGAGCAAACGAAACCACGACCATAAGAAAATGAGAATAAAGCTATATGGGAGCAGGGTTCATGTTACCTTCAGTTGTTTTCTATCATCTGGCCATGACAGCGATAGATTATTTGACCTTCAATAGAAGGCAAGCCGTCAATCAGATAGTGAATCAGATAGCAAGAGATGGTGTCAGGGCCATATAATAGCCTTTGACTCTAAAGGCAGCAATGAACAGCTTGCAGAGGTTGCTGTTTCCCACATATTTCCTGGCAGATATTTATTTTCCTTTCAGTTTTGGGTATCAAGATTCATAATGATCTGGCATCAGAGATGTTGCAGTACTTTCGGAAGGGAATACTGAATCAGTAGTAACAAGCATCACTAAGCAATACTAACTCATAACAGGAGACCGAGTATTCATAGAGTGTCTAACAGTTACATGCATCATCACATTATTGCAATATTTTTATAATTGCAAACTGAGACCCCATTATCTTATATGATAAAACACAAAAGAAAAAAGGGACTTCTAGCTCCAAGTCACTTCCAATTGAATTATTAAAACAAAGACATTTCTATAAAGACAGATGGGGAGTAGAATAAGTCTAGATTTGCCAGAATAATAGATGGTGTGTTGTGAATGCACCTGTAGTCTAATTGTTGCCAAGGCTTTTAAAGGGAGTTTAAGAAGGATAGTGGGTGGAAGGATAATTTGTGGAAGTTTGTTGGGAGTTTTCCCCAGGGGTAAGGGAGAGCATGGTAGAAAGCATGAAAATAATTTGAAAACTAAACAAGAGGGCAGGAGATGGAAAACAACTGGCTGGGAGTGAAAATCAGTATTCTTGATATTCATGAATGAGAAGAAATGACAGATTCACAGCACAGATCTGTGAGGAAAATAATGCTAAAACCTCCTTGGAAGTCAAAATATCCTAGATGCAATAGAGAAATGGAAATAGGAACTCAAAAGTAAGGGTGACTCTGTGAGTAGATAGGAGGACCTATCTCTGTCAAAGGAAATGTAGGAGACATAGGATAAATGTGAAACACAGGGGAACCACACGAAACCCAGGAGACTCTGAAACTCTGAGACACAATTGATAGAGGCATAGTGACACAAAAAGCTCACAAGTTTTAGGCCCTGATAATTAGCTTAGTGATGCCTTCTTCCATACTGATTAATGAAGCAGAGTAGGGAGCATACAGAAAGATGGGTGAGGAGTGACAAGGAGTCTTCAGAAACACCATGAAGGAATGATTAGGACATCAGGAAGAGGGCCAGGAAGAGAGCTAAGAGATGTCAGAGAAGGAGAAGGTTACAGATGGTTGTCAAAACCAGCAGAGAGGATGAATTAAAAAGGGGTTTGGTTTTGCTAGAATGTTCGCCTTTTGGTGTGGACTGAGTCAGGCAGATGCTGATGCCATTTTGATGGCAAACATTGAAGGTCAAATTAAAAAGTGAGAGTATGGAAGTATATGCTTAATGATCCAGATGGGTCTTTAACATGAACGCTGGAGTCAAGGAAAAAAAGGTGGGGAATACTGAGAGTAAAGTAGGAGAGCAATGCAGGAGTAAAACTAAGAGAGGAAGGCAGGCAGGGAAAGGCGCTTGGACAGCAGATGAAGGCAACATGCAGTGAAGGACAGTCCAATTTAATAGAGGAGTAAGACTGACAAAAGTCAAGCAGAGCAGTGAGGAAGGACAGGAATGGGAGTGGATGTGCATGGCAGATTATCACAAAAGACTGTCTCTCTGTACCGGTAGCCATGTAGAGAGGCAGCTGGAGAGACAAGGGTCTGCATCTCTGTGGCCAGGAGCTGAAGAGACTGCTCTAAGTAAAAGGGAAATTTTTATTTCTTGGGAACAGGATTGGCATCACACCAGTCCTGTTCCCAGGACTGCAAGAGAAAGACAGAGGGAGATGGGCACATGATAGTGTCCCAAGAAAAGTGGGGTCAGTAGCACAGGCAAAGTATAGTGAAGGAGAGTGGGGAGAAAGGAAGAATCAGGACTGGATCAATACCACCAGAGCTTAGGAGCAGAAAAGGAACATTAGACTGGGTTTGTGGTGGGGGCAAATACAGATGGAGTAAGCACAAGAACACAGTGTAGGAAAAATAGCTCCAAAGAATGGTCTGTTTTGCCCAATATCCTGTCCTACAGTGGATCAAACTGAAAGTGTGCCTAGCCCCATATCTGGTGCTCAACAATGGCCAATAGCCGATGCCAGAGGAAGAATATAAAATCAGGGCAACTGTAAAGAGATACTCTCATCCCTAGCTCCCGGGACCTGCATCTTATGGACATCCTGAACCAAAGAAGGTGTCTTGGTAAATAAGGAGGTCAACAAAAGTAATGAGCATTGCAGGATAATGATGACTATAACCAGAAAGATGACCTCAAGCTGAAGGAAGAATTCCATCCAATAACTTAGAAAATAGGTGTAAGAAGAACTAAGAATAAGTGATAGGTGACGAAGGAGCTAAAAAAGGAAAATAAATAAACAAACAAGCAAAATACGCAGAAAAGAGTTCAGTTGGTTAGTTTAACTCTCTGTTTTTAAAGAAAGTGCATTCTGCATCAGCCTCCACACACAGAGCATCAGAAAGTCATAGCCTGTGCTCCGTTCCAGACTGCAAAAGACTGCTAGTGCTGAGGGGGAGGCTTGCCTCAGTGAGGCAGCGATGCTTGCTCTTAGCTCTTTTTTACCTACTGGTTTTGCCTGCTTGCTCTCAGTGATCACTGAATACAGACATCACAGCATTATCTAACAACTCCATGATTGCCTTTCTGCAATCACCTCCTGCCATCTCTGGGCTGTGCTCCGGAGCACAGAGCACTGCGGGGGTGTTGTTCTCTGCGTCAGGGGTAGCCGAGGAGGTGCCATGAGGATTTGGACATGAATTAGAAAGGGGAGATGGTTCAGGCCTGAAACTGCAGTCATGATTTGGTTGCACAAGAATCCTGTGAACTTCTCCTGTGAAATTCTGCTACCCACAATAACAGAAATCCTACCCTCCCCAAAATCAGCCATTCAGAAAAGGTTGCTGCTCCTTCTGAGCAGGAAAACAACCTCTTCTGGTTTGGGATCTCAGCTGGAGTTAGAAGCATGCAGGATACCAACCCAAATCCCCCCGTAATTTAAGGGGATTCCTGCCCAAAGTTCCCATCCTGTCTCACCACTAATTCCGAAAGTAGCAAATAATTTTCATCTGAATATTTGAGAAATTGAGTCTCCAAGGAACAGTTACTTATAAAGCACTTTTCCTAATGTTCATTACTAGTATCATGTGCATCTAAATTCTCAGGGTTCTGCTTCACCACTTAATATCTCAATTACCGTGAAATAAAGAAAGGCATCAAGGGCTGAGAATGTAGCTGGATGGCACTTTACCACATGGGCTAAAAAGCATGTGGTACTAAACAGGTGTAAAAACAAAACCAAAAATTTGTCAGAGGTTATGGCTGCAGTGCAAGGCATGTATTTTCCAACTATGCCTTGCCAAAAGGCATTCTTGAGAGACTGTTGCCAAAAAGAGCTTGTTAAAGTGACATCAGAAGAAAAATACTAATTTACGATGTGTGCTACATATTTTTCAGGAGCCTCAGCTGTCAAAGGATAACACTGCATAAGAATTTGTTTTTTTCTTACGTGCTGAACTCTGTGTTTACAATTGCCCACCTCATCGCTGTTGTGCCTAACCCGGGCCTTGTAAAAAGGGATCCTGTAAGTACTGCATGACTCCTTTCCCTCTTAACACCCAAGTAAAATTACTATGGCCACGCCAAAACCAGACATTCCCATTCACCAGTTCATGTCAGCTGCCTGGTAAAACATGCATGGAAGGTGCAAATTCGGAGAATTTCACTCAACCTTGCTCAGATCTTTCACCAAGCAATAAAAATCTTTGAATTTGGTACAAGAGGGAGAAGCCTCAGACTTGCTTCAGTCAGCCCATCTGTATAAATGTGTGTCAGATCCCCACTGCTCTTGTGTCAGATCCCCACTGTTCTCAGCGCTAACTGCCTGACATTTCCCAACAAAGCCCCCGAAAGGGACAGGTGCTCTTGGTGGCCTCCTGTCCTTTCTCACAGACACACAGTCTGGAGAGGGGCAGGGTTGGCGAGAGGTATGGCTTTTTTCAAAATCCCCACAAAAGATCTGTTTGCTGCATTTTTTTTTTCGGGAGGTGGTAAATCAAGGCAATAGCTTGCTTCACTGCTCTTAGATAGTGATACAAATTGTGCTGGTCCCTCAGCTGATAAGTATGTATGGCAGATCTCAGTCACCCAGTTCTAATCTTGCTCTCTAACAGAGCAATCGCATTGTGCTTGCCATCATTACAGCAGCCCCAGCTGATGTGAAATTAATGCAAGCCTGGGAATCTCTCAAGTTATGTCACAACACTGATCTGCTTGTCTTCTAATAAGATCATTCAATTATGGTTCAACCATTTATCCGCTTCTAATTTTGTGAAAGCAATTAAACATTAGCACCTGATATTATTTGATCATGTGTGTGTCTCTCAAATGTGTCCTGGTTAAGTAAGCTAATTAAAGCTTACTGGTTAAGGAATCTAATTAAAGCCGGAAATATATAGACTAAAGAAAACATCACCAGTTCCAGGGACCATCTGGAGATTAAAAAATAGAAGAGCAGAAGAATAATTAAAAAAATCACACATTTTGTTTCTCCTTACTGCATGGCATCATACCTACGTAGGCTGTGCGAGAAATGCAATGAAAATACTCTTGATATTTGAAGATAAAAAGCTAGCACATGATATCAGGCACCTGAATTGAAGCAAGGTCATTACCTCAGGGTTAAGAGTGATACTTCCTGACAGCAGAAGTAAATTATCTGAAGTGAAGTGCTTTAAACTAAAAGTTGAGGCCACGGCGAGGACTCTTGTGCTCTAAGATTTCATTAAAAAGCTGCATCTAGTGCCTTTGGGCTGGATCATTATTTGGAGTGAAATCTTGACCCCAGTGAAGTCAATGACAAAGCTGTCAGAGGCTTCAGTAGAGCCACATAGCCACAGGACAGGTAGCGGCACGCTGAGCATCACCTGATGAAACCCCCAACCTCCATTGCTATGGCAACAGACAGTATAGAAATGACATAAGTGGTTACTTTTGGAGGCCGTGGAGCCCCAGAGCTGTGTGGAGGTTCATGTATGCAGTCAGCTTTCAGGTTTTGGGCCAGACTATGAAGAGAACCCTTAGTGTTGAATACAGTCACAGAAATTGCCCAAGCTGGTGTCCTTCCACTGCTGTTACCAAATATAGCTGTGTTAGCAAACCTGGCCACAGCTAGTTAGCTAAGCATGCGCTTTGATGAACAAAGCCCTTGTTTTGCACTTTCTTCTTCCAAACCAAATTTGCATGTCTGAACTGCTATCTAGAGGTGAGGTACAAAACTTGGGGCCAGAACACCTGGGGCATCCCATTTTTGTTCTGCAGTCAAGTACGGCATGAGGGTACACTCACTGCTTGATCTTGCATCACTTTCTAGATTTTCTTTCTTTAGGAAAAAAAAAAAAAACAGAAAAAAAGGAGGTGAGGTGACCCGCTAATATGTTCAAAGTCTCCTGACATTAGTAGATAGTGCATTCTGTTGTTTTTGTGACATAATAAATTTGTAAATACATGACTGGTAAAAGAAAATGAACTGCCAGCGGTGAGTTTTTAACACATGATGAAATTACATATAGTCTCCATATGAGTATATGAAGGTTTAAAGAATTTCTGTTAAAAATTTACTTATTCTACCGAGTAGATTCCCATAATATTTTCATTGTAATGCTGATTAACTGAGCAAATGAAGGCTTTATAGCTTGGTTTTTTCTATCCCCATTGCATCCTCTGTTTTATTAAGTCCATTTTAAGATGACTTCTTCTGACTTTCTGTAGTTTGCTGCATTTATCCACTTTCCACCTGTGCATCTGCTGAACTTGACAGGCTCGTGTGTGGGTGGCTCTTACCTCCAATATATACAGAAATACTGAAGTGTGTAGAAGGAATTTCAGATAGTCACAGATATCCCATCTGTAATGGCCATATACAGAGATGAAGTTGGTGGTATTTGTTCTGCAAAATAATATATGTGTTTCCACCCCAATAGTGCCCGCTTTTTTTGTCCTGCATAAAATTTCACAACAGATTTTAAATATGCAATGCCATGGGAAAATACTTACAGTGAATACATATTTATGAGGATATCCACAAATCCATACAATTTTGAAAGAAGGAAGAAGGTTATGTTAAATAACAAAGAGAAGAGACAGGAGGAGCAAGAGAGGAAATTCATCCTTAACACCAAGACACCCACATTCTCCCTGTATCCAGACACAAAAGACATGAGACAATCCAAAGCATCGTGTACATGAGGAGAGGTCATACTGCATCCTTACTCGCATATAGTTTGCTGCACAGGGTTAAACCCTTTGATGATCATTCTGCTCATGTAAAATGGTAAGTCAAGCCACTTTTTCAATATATCTTAATTTGCTTTTTTACCTCGTTTTTTCCTGCTTTCTGGTTATATAATTTTGTCTCTCTCTCTCTCTCTTCCTTTCGTATTTCTCTGGATCTGAAATGATGGAAGAGGACGATGTGAGCTCAGGTAGCCATACAAGAAGGAAAGAAGCAATGAAAAAGGTTCAAAGACACTTGAACAGAAAAAAACAGGACACATGTATGAACACTTATTTACATATATTGAAAAATGTTACTTGAGCTAATTTTTTGCATGTTGTATCTAAAGTAGCAAATGCATTAATTATGCTATTACTGGAACAGATTTTATAGGAAGGGGTATGTTCTATCACCTTCTTAAATGAGACTGACACGGAAGAAGGGTGATCTGTGAACAGCACATTATGTTCTCCATTAAAAACCATGGAAATATAAATAAAACTCTTCCTGACTAATCTTTTAATCTAGTCTTGCACATCAGATCTGTATTTTTCATTTTTTGTATTCCACAAGATTAGTAATTTTAATACTCAATTCTGAAGGGGGTAAAGGAAGATATAAGTAATGACTGGAGGGATAGCTCTGCTAATGAGAAACTGAATAATTGATCAGCTCCATAGGCACCCATATACATATGTTTGTAGATGGGACTAAGTTTGGTCACAAATCAGTAATGACTCAGTAATTGGAAACTCATCCAGAAAAGCTTTAAGAGCTCTTCTTGCATTTTTATCACTTTCCTGTTCTAGTAGAGATAATACCTGTTCTCTTCTTTCTCTCTCCAGGCTCTTCTGTAGTCTCTTCACTTTTCTCTCTCCTTTGCTTCTGGCATTGTATGGTATGAAAGTTTCAATGTCAGTTGCAGTTTTATAGAGTCCACAGCAAGGGCCAGTGCTCTACTGGGAGCTCCTGGGAGCCCTGTGTGGGCTCTCATGCTTGACCATGCTATATCTCAGAGTAAGGACCAAGCATCCATTCAGGCATGCTCCAGTCTCACTGTCAAGTCCCAGTTCCCTGCCACACAGCTTATTTAAGCCTTAATGTATAAATACTCTGTGCCCCCTCTTGCATGGGTACAGCAGCAGAGCTGGTAAGGGAGAACCCAAAGCAATGCATGTTTTATGACAAGCACCGTGATCTCATTTTCTTAGCAAGGAGAGATTGGGTGTGGGCTGTGCTGAGCCTGGCACAGTCCTTTCTACTAGCAGTATCTTTAATTCAGCTCTTGCCGAGGTGAAAAGTGCCTTGGACATGGGGTATGATACACTGAAGCCTGTTCTTGCCTCCTTGTGTAGATGTAGATATACTTTAAAGATCCTGAGCTAGTTTACCACTCTAGCTGATGGTACAGCATGCACTCTCTGCCTCTGACAGGACCAGCAGCACAAGTATTTCACTATCATTGAAAAGTTGCTATCACTGTGGGCGTGAGGTGGGATGACAAAGCACACTAGGTTTATCTGTACTGCCTGAAGCCCATCTCCTAGTAGGAAGCAAGCCTTCAGGAGAAACCTCTAAGCTGCTTCCCACTGAGCATTATTAGTGAGACCAAGAGAAAGTTATTAGTGAGAAAGAGCATTATTAGTGAGAAAGAAAGCGCAGAAGCTGGTGTCCACTAGCATTACAGTCTTTAAAGCAAGGCCATAGTAGTAGTAATATTAAAAAAATTAGTATCCTCATGGACACTAGAACACTATAAATAATCTCACCATTGACTAAAGCGAAAACCATGACTGTCCAAGTGTATTAGGTTTTCCTCCCTATCACTGTAAAACAGTGGAAATAAAAAGTTGAGCAGTGTGGGAAGATGAAGAGTGTATAAAGGGTAGTTACTGTGATTTATGGGGTTACGATGCTGTTGACTTCACCTGTTCTCAAAGGAATTGACAGGGAATGAGAGCCAAGAAAACAAAGGAGATGCACAGCATTTCAGGGACAGTGTTAATTTTAGGTCTTTTTACCATGTAAGCGTTACCTTCCACGTCTCTTGTTGCTTTCACTTCCTTCTGATGTAGCCTGGCAGAGCCTGGAGGGGGTTAAACGTATTGTTCTCAAATGAGGGGCCCATAGCTGATACCAGTGAAGGCAAATGGCAAAAATGCTGCCCCGTGTGACTTGTGTTTGCCTCAGTAGTCCCAGCAGTTCCCGCAGTGCAGCCTCCCCTGGAAGCAGCGAAGGTGGAGTTCCACAAAGGAGAAGGGCGCTTTGATCCTCTTGAGTTGTTTCATGTATTATGCTCGGGGTAGAGC